ATGAAGGCTACAGTTGATTTGAACTTCGGTGGCATACCCTATGATTAAATTGAACTATTAAGTAAGATCATATCATCTGAATCATCTACTCTGTGTGCCAACAGCCAGTATAATTGGAGGCTTAGATTTCTGACTTCTAAATTCTTGAATGATCTAGAAACAGGGTCTGAAAAATAAAATCACTTTAATTTTTATACTTTTTAAAGTGTTGAAATAGTTCCTTAACAGCTGTAGGAACTTGTAGAGATTATATTATTGAATTTATAGGTGGAAAAACAGGTAACTTTCTTCCATCTGAACTTTCTTTTCAATGAATACTCAGTAACTGTTTATAGGAATAATCTAGACTTAATGAAAACAACATTTTTTTTCAATCTAAATTTTGTCTGGATTCTGGTGCTGGAAGATTTTCCTTTAGGATGAATTACAAGGTTTTTATAAAATTTGGACCACTTTTTAGAAAAACATGTGGAAGCTTGCAAAAGTTTTTCATCAAAGAAGGAAACCTAGAAGAATTTCTCATATTAGTTGCTCATTTGAATTCCTAGAATTTTTTCTAGAACTGTATATCCAGATGCTTTGGTAATAGAGTATTAGAGAAACATAAGAAATTAGGGCTACGGATTGTCTTTTTATCTGAGAGCATTAACAGATGGAGTATGCCCAAGTAATGAATTGCTTTTAGGTCTCAGTTTCTTTTGTAGCACAGTAATATTTGACTCTCTGATAAGTCACATGAAAGTGTTTTATCAGTTTTGCTCTTTTAAAAAAATACACTTTCCAAAATACCTCATGTAGAGTATCCTTTTTGTTAGATGTGGTAGTCATTAGAGTACTATGTTTCTCCATTGTTAGTATATACTAGCAATGTTTAAAGAACTTTACTATTGTATTTTCATTGCTCAGTTGTCTAAGTGTAGTTCTTATATGTATTTTAGTAGAAAATAGATTTTATTGCACTGGAAATAACTTGCTAATAATAAAACTCATGATTCATCTAATCAGCATTATCAAAAATAGAATGTAAAATTTGCATAAGGTGAAGTTTATCTTGGTAATCTGATTGCTGTCTTTTCCTTCCTTTCTTTTAAACAAAATACTGTTATCATTAGATGGTTAAACTAGAGAAAATTCTGTTTTCAGTACTGTTTGTTGTGATGCTCTAGGAAGTCGAATTACTTGATAATGTAAATTTTGTTGAATTTGTGTATTTACCAGGTCCAAAAAGCTTATACCTTTATTTATATTAAATTATATGCAGCTTACCCAAAATATAAAGTTGCTTGTAGTATGTGTTTGTATGTTTGCTTTAGATATAGAGATCTTCCGGTCTTCTGACTCCTTTTTCTAAAATACCTTCACCTAATAGTGTAGTTATAGATCACTGCCTAATAATGAAACCCTCACTTGTCTGATTGATTTGCTACACCAATGGTAAATAACTAAAGAGTATTCTGTGTGTTGAATACTAGCTATTTTCTTATAGGTGGTTATAGTTTAATTGAATTTTATTCCTTGAGACTTTGTGTTGAGTTCGGATGAAATTCATGCCTTTGTTCCTTAAATATAAGTTGGCTACTTTCCTTAAGGCAGGAAAATCTTGTAAAAACTGCCTTCTTTAAAATCTGTAAGTTCAAAGACAAATTGTCAATTTTAATTTCACAAAGTTCCTTCGGGTAAGTTTTATAGTCTGCACATATAGTGGGTACTGACTGATGTGTTAGCAAGGCAAAAAAATGAATTCACCAAAATATGAAGGTTTCTTAAAGGCTTAGTCTACATATCAACAGTATTGACATACTACATAAATCATTAACGTGATTTTTCTGTGGAAATATATGAAGTTGTTTTGCTAGACTGTTCTTTAATTTTCTTAGGAAATAATTCATTCAAGTGATAGAATAAAAACCTAAAGGTAAGGTGATATTATTACATGTTTTTTGCATGTGTGTGGTTTATAGGTGAGGCAGTGGTATTCATTATACAATTACAGTCAGTTTTATGAGTTTGAGCTGTCCAGCTGAGGCTTTGCCCAAACAACTGGAAGCCAATTTTTACTATTTGGTAGAAAAAGCTTCTCTCTCAAGAATATTAGGATGGGAAAAGGAACAAATTCCATGGATCATTTTCGTTTTATTACATTGTGGTATATTGCTTTCTTGGCATTACAAATGCCAAAGTTGATTTTAAAATATTTTCTTACAGATGAAATTAGGTCATTCAGGTAACTTTGTTTCATATCTTAGTCTTAAACTGGTGCTGTGCAGGGAAAAGAGACCCGTTTTAATTAGTGTGAGCACAAGGGCTAGTTTCTCTTTTAGTATTTTATGTCCAAATGTTAACATCTTCTTAAATGTATTGTATATCACCAAGATATTTTAAACCATAGCTTCACCAGAAAAATGTACTGTTTTTATTAGAATAGGCAAATGATGCTCTGCCATAGAAATAAAACAAGTACTTTTGGGATACATTAAAGAATTTTATTATAAAGCTCTGTGGTTTAGTTATTAAACTGGTATGTAATTCTCTGTTAATCTTGCATACCTAGCTCATTTAGGTCTTGTTTGGATAACTTTTCACAAAATGACATTGACATCTAAACCTCAAATATCAATCTCATTTAGACTAGCAAATGTCTGCATTAAAGGCACTGTGTCCCATGTCAGTTTTTTGTAGTGTTACTGCTACTAAGATTTACTACAGTATTCTGCAAACTAACCTGGAGGATTATTTTAAACTCTCACTCATCATTTCACTATTTTTTTAAAAATTTTTTACTCTTCCATGTACTTCCTGAAATACAATACAATATTGACTTGCAAACTTTGTATATCATGTTGCTTTTTAATTATGATAGTACATGGTTCACTGGCATTTTTTTAAAATTCATGTATTAACAGACATTTAAAAATTTCAGTATTTTAATTCTTCTTATTGTATTAATTACTACTTTATGGACCCCAGAATCATTGAATTAAATTGGTTTTGACGAGTAATGTGTGTATTTCTGAAAATAATAATGCCACAAAGCTTTAATATGATAAGCCATGCATCTTGACACCTGTTTCAGTATAGTGGTGAGGCAGTCTGTCAGAATATGATAAACGGTGTGGGCCCATGTTCACTTAAATAAGTTGGTGAGTTGAGTCTTGGTTTCTGAGTATTTTGTTTTTTCATTGCTTGTAGCTTTATTGGTTTGTTGGAGAAGGCTTACTAAACTATAACAAATTATAAAGCTCTTAGCAAGTAAGTGTTGCTTGATGGCCAGAAAATTGTGGAAAACTGACTGAAAATTTTACTCTGGATAAGGGTAGAATTATGAATGGCTAGTGGCTCCTGAAGTGTTCCACTGAAGAACTTGCTTGCTCTTGTAGCAGAAATGATCTGTACATGTCCATTGAGTTTCCGTTGCAATTTCTGCTTTTCCTTTGTGCACTGGAACATTCAACTAGCAAAACTTGAATGACCTACCCCCTTTCTGCCTTGGATTTTTACAAAATTCAAAGTGATGCAGCAATGCCATTTTAAGTTCCTTGTTAAGAAACAAATAGGATTTTTATGACATTTAGCAAAAGTATCATGATTTGTGAACACTCCTCACTGCTTTTCCTAATCATGCAAAGTTTTCGTACAGTAAAACCTTATTAATGTGGATGTTCCTAACTGTGGAGTTTGAGTCTTTCATTTTATATAGAAAAATGGGAAGATACTTGTAATTAATGCTGTAAATCGGAGTCCAAGGTATCTGTTTAAGGAAGTTATTCTTTTAAAATATTTCTAAGGCCTTGGTATAGAATATGTGATATATAAATGATTTCTATTTATTAAAGCTAGTATGGTAACACTATTAATTTGTAAGACCTCCATGTTAACATATGTGAATATGTCATTTAATTTTTTTTACAAAACTAATATATATATTTTTTATTTTTGCAAAATTCTGGTCTGTACTATGCCGGGCACTCAACTAAAACTTGTTACAAATGTAAGCTCAAGAGTTTTTGAATCAGTAACATTTGTATTATGTTATAAGGAATCTTCTATAAGGATAGGAAAATCTGATTTTTAGTTTAGCTGATGTGGTTTAACCATATTTCCCCTAGCAAGAATATTAACTGCTATTTATTACAAAAACAAAACAATAACCACCTCAAAGCTAGATTTTTATTTTTGTCTGCTCCTGTAATCCCTCCCCTAGTCTTTAAAATTTAAAGAATTAAAGGGAGTTTATTTAATGAAACTGCTATTATTAAATGATCATTAGGGGAATTAAATTTAATAGAACTCAAAGAGTTAAAGTTTAAATTCTCAGGGAGGGACTAGACCCATCTACTATGGAGACGGGAGAAAAAAACTCTTCCCTTTGTCTTCCTAGCATTCTAGGTATGTAGCATATTCTGACCCAGAGGTTTAAAGACTGAGGTGTCTTGCAGAGGGGTAAGGGGAAACTTATCATGCTTTTAGGAAAATGTGGATTTTACTTCCCCAATTCTTGGATCTTAGAGATTACATCAGTGTGGGAAATAGCATCTCCGGTACACACGCATGTACGTGCACACACACACACAAAGTACCTTCACTGTTCACAGAGTTTCCTGTGCTCAAGGGAGGCAGTTTCTTTAGGAAATGTAATCTGGAATGAAGGAATGAATACATTTGCTTTGTTTGCTGGGCGGTTGTCTTATAACACATAATTCTGTTGGATCTTTGATTTCTGGACATTTCAGCTTTCAAATGCATTTCAGTAACTTTTGTATGAAAATATGAGGCTCTAGGTAAAAGTATATTTAAGGGTTTGTTTCCCTCAAATTGGTATTTTTTCTTCATACCAACTCATATATGGTATGCTATAGGAAGCTAATTATATGTTTTAAAAGATTTTGAGAATGTTAGGTCAGTCTACTGTTTCTTAGTTTTTGTGGGTTTTTATCTTTTGCTTGCCTTATTTAGTTTTAACATTTGGATATTTCTAAAGTCCTGAATCTTTATCTTTTCAGAATCTTTAGAAGAACAAGATGTTCTTGATAATAGTACAGAGCAAATTGATGACAAAATATCAGCTACAGAGCAGACAAACCAAGTGAGTGAAAAAGCACCTGGCACAGAGGAACCAGAGGAAAAACCAGAAGGGACTGAGAATGAGGAAACCTCAGTGAATGAAGCCAAATCAGCAGTTCCCAGTGTTGATTCTCTTCCTGATCCTGAACTAAGTGGAGAATCATTGATGGCAAAGGAGTAAATGCTTCCATGTGCCTTCAACTGAATATTTGTAGTCTTGTTGATGTCAGTTACTGCTTTTCAGGTGGTGGTTTCTTTTTTTTTTTTTTCCTCTAAGGATATGCTTGATACCATTCGAGTTTAGATTGCCTAGCTACTTTAGTGTCAAAGCTGTATCTACTGGGTATTAAAATTGAAAACAAGTGATATCAGCAAGGTAACATCCTTTGTAGACAACTTTTAGATATCTTTTGTCTGTTCTAAAAGTAAACAAATATGAGGGCATCCCTGTTTTCTGTATGTATGCCTGTAAATAATATCCATTTTGACATAGGAAGCTCTTTGTTTAGGAATAACTTCTCTAATAGTGTTTGATTTAAGGAATGAAACTCAATTAAGATTTTGAACACCTCATCATTAAAAAATGGATAGAGTTTTAACCTGAGTTATTTGCCAGGGGGGAAAAAGTGACTATTTAGGCATTTTCATTAAGCGGTATGAAAGTTGTAAGTGTAACTACATAGGCATTGGTACGAATTTCGAGTAAGAATGCAACTGAACAGTCAAGTGCAGTGTTTCTTTTTGATGTTACTTATTTTGCAGCTGGGCCAAGGCACATGATATATATAATTAGGGTATGTTTACATATTAACAAATAGGAAATATCTCTGCACTTGACTGTACTTGAATTCTGAACATTATTTATATTTGTAAAATGATGATATATAAGTGAATATTATGCTCTTGTATGTATTTTGTTAAGGAAAATAAAAATGATCTGGCTGCAGTTTATTTTATCTAGACCTTTTCAAACAGTATCTTGGTGGATGACTTGAATTCCTGAAAAATCTTAGTAGCGGAGCCCACAATACAATAAATCTATAGATTCTGCTTAGAACATATTATTATGCTTATATTCAGATTTGTTGTCTTTCAAATTCATAGAAGTAGTGCTATTTAGACGTTCTAATCAGAGGTTAAGTTTTGTTTTGTTTTTAAGTCAGGAACACTTTGGGCCATTTGTAGCTTTTAACTTTGAGAGGCAAATATGTTTTGTGAGAATAGGCAGTCAGTGGCTGGTAGTTCATTTGATTTAATATGTGTTCTAAGGATCAATTGGGAAAAAATTTTGACCCAGAATAGTAATTTTTGGATCTCAGATACAGCGTGGTTATCTTTTAGAGCTTCATTTTATCTCTCTTCTCCATTATTAAAAAAAAAAAAATGAAATCAAGTTATGCCAAAGGAAGGAATATGTATGAATGGTATGTATGGCTGATATTTCTAAGTTGTACACAGTTCATTCTTAATCATTTAAAAATATATCTTTATGGTTTAATGTCTTGCAGTTGACAGATATTTTTAAGGAATCCAATCTGTAAATCATCTGAGACATCATGGTATAGTGACTAGAATTTTAGAGCATACAGAGCTGGACTTAAATTCCAGCTCAGCGGTCTTGTGCAAGTCACCCAACTTTCTGAGACTGACTGTTTTCTCATCTATAAAATGGGGAGAATAATGACTACTTTTCAGGGATATTGGGAAGATTAAAAATAATTTATATAATCTGCCTAGCTCACTGCCTGATAATAGATATTAAGTAGGTAGTAGTGGTGGGTATTATTGATAGCCTTGTGAAATATGAAAAAGCCATAAATTCTTCCACTTGAAGATAAAGAAATTAAACAATAGGAGCATATAATTCAGCTGCTCAAAACCAAGCTAAAATTTTCTGCACCGACGTACAGTGCTCTGGCAACTTTTCTCTATCATATGTACGTATGTAAATACATAGATTAAGGAAATAGGAAACTGAAACTCTTATGTCATGTAGTTTTTTTTTGATGCATTTCATCAGTTATTGGCCCGTATACATTTTGCTAACACCTTGCAGAGTCTTCTTGTAAAACATTCAAATTCGGATGTACATTGCTTGAAAATGAATACTTCAGAGAAATATAGTTTAATGACAGAATCAAGCAGATATTGTGAGAAATATCTTTGAAAGAAATATGGAGGAAGGTTAAAAAAGGAGATTAGTAGAAACAATGCAATAGGTAACATACTGTAATGGTATAGTATCCTTTAAAATGGAAAAATTTATTCTGATACCTTTGTAATAAACACTTAATGCTTGAAAGAATAGTAAAATATCCCATTTCTGATTATTAAGACTAGTATAAATGAGGAATATCAATCTATTAGGTACTGTTGGCCAGAGTGGTCTTTACTTCCCTACTTAGGAATGCTCAAAGGGCCATCATCTAAACTCTTCTCACTATTCCCTCAGTGTGATCTACAAACATTGGTCTGACTTCTGTCTCTTCATCCCTCCTCGACCATTGTGCTGTAGCCACATGGGGCTCCTTTAAATTCTCCGACCATGCTATGCTAAGCCTTTTCCTGCCTTAGGTTTCAACTTAAATTTTCCATCAGAGAGATGCCGTCCAGAGCTCCCTATCTAAAGCTGGCTTCTGCCTGTTACTCTCTATCATGCCACTCTATCTCTGCTGATGGTCCTTATCACAATTTGTGAGTATTTTGTTAACTGTCTTATTCACCTCTGTGTCTCCAGTGCTCAATGCCTGACACATTTTTATTATGCAAGTGAATAACTTTGTTGCTAAATCCAGTGAAAATTCTCACTCCCTAACTTATTTAGCTGCTTGGCAGCATAGACATTGTCAAACACTCCCTTTTGTTTGAAACACTTTTCCTTTTGACTTTTGGGATCTTGCACTTTGTTCTCTTATCTTCACTCTCCGTGTCTTTTGCAGGCTTCTCTTCTCCTGCCCATCCCTTAAGTGATGGGGTTCCTTTGATTCTACCTAGTGTCATCATTTCTTCACTCTACATAGTCTCTCTCTGGAGCGGGGCGGGAGGGTCTCACCAACCGTTAGGGGTTTAATTACATCCGTGTCGCCGGTACTCAGATCTGCAGTCTTGACCTGTTTCCTTCACTTCATAGCTCTGTATTTACCCACCTACTGGATTGTCCTTCACAATCAGTGTATTCAAGAGTGAACACTGTCTTCAGACCTACTTCTGTGTTTCTCATCTCAGCAAGTAGCACCACTATCCAAGCCAGAAATGAGTCTGTCTGCTGATCCCTTTCCCCTTTTGCCTGTATTCAAACTGTCATTTCTTGTCTCCTAAATATCTTCCAGTTATATTCTCATTTCTCCATCTCATTAACACTACATTAATAATGATAATAAGTGTTTGCATTCTTACTCTGTGCCAGGCAACATGCTAACTACTATACGTATGTTATTTGTTCTTTGTCAACAATCCTCTGAGGAATTTTATCTCTGGATTATAGAAAACTGAGGCGTAGAGAGAGTAAACAACTTGCCCAAAGTTATATATCTGGCAAGTGGAAAATCTGGGATTTGAATTCAGGCAAATGACTTCAGAGGCCTTACTTTTTTTTTTTTAAATTTAATATCTTGTTTTATTTTTAGTGAAAGTCTACACAGCAAAACAGGTTCCCATTCAACAATTTCTACACATAATATTCAATGACACTGATTATATTCTTAACATTGTGTCAACATTTTCATTATTTCCCTTCTAATTCCATTCCGATTGACTTAGTCTCACTGCCCCCCTCAACTTTCTCATCTATGCTTTTGAGTACTTGTCCATTTGGTCTCATATAGATAATTTTTTAAAAGAGCACAGTACTCAAGGGTGATTTTTTTTTTTTTTTTTTACTTTTCAAGCTAACCTGCTATTTGATTAAAAGGTGACTTCAGGGGATCGTTTTGGTTCAAGGTTTAAAGAGTATCTCAGGGCGGGAGATTCTTCCAGTCTCAATGGGTCAAGTAAGTCTAGATTCTTGGAGAATTTGAAGTTCTGTTCCACATTTTTCTCCTTTTCAGAATCCACCTATTGTGACCCAGATCAGAATGTTCGGTAGTGGTAGTGACACCATCTAATTCTTCTGGTGTCAAGGTACAGAAGGCATGGTTCATGGAGACAATTAGTCCTTTTGTCTGGTTCCTTCTCTAGTTCTTGAGTTTCCTTCTTTCTCTTGAGATCTTACTCTTATTTACTCTTCAGCTGCCTTCTAATTTGGGCCTCCTTCATCTCAGATTATGGAGCTGTCTCTTCGCTGGTTTCCCTGTCTCTAATCTTTCCCATTTGCTGTCCATTCTCTGTACTGCAGCCTCAGTGAGTTTTCAAAAATGAAAAATTACCATGCCACGCCATTGCTTAAATCCTTTAATGACTCCTCATCATTCTTGGGATGAAGCCACATTTTTAAATAAGACCTGCAAGGCCCTGTGTAATTTTGCTCCTTGTTACCTCTAGCATCTTCTCTCGCCACAACTACTGCCATCCCCACCACCTCCACTTTTAATGTAGCTATACTAATGTTTTCTGTGCTTGAATATGCAGTTCTTTTTAATCTCCCAGACTTCTCAGAACCCAAGTACATTTGTTAGAATACAAATAAGAATAAAAATTAAAATGAGTACAGAATTAAAACGTTACTAAGTTCTATCAATCCATAACTATTCATTTTGTCTCAGCCTAATTTCTTTCCTCCTCGGAAACTAGTCTACATTTTTTACTTTAAATACTTTTTAAAGAAGCCTTTTTGAAAATCACCGAATTTGCTAGATAGTAAGTCTCCCCAAATTGCCTTTTATCAGTTTGCCTTTGTGTGAAACTTAGATTCTATTTAATTGCTGTTCTTTTACCTCCAGAGGTCCTGTTATGTGCCATTTAATTTCTATTACTCATGGACTTTATAAAAAGAAAACACTATCCACTTAGATAGTTTTGCATTATTTAATGCTTTTTAAAACTTAGATTTTCTGTTTTATGCATTTCTGTCTCTTAAGTATTTATGCCTTCCATTTTTCCTTTGGCAGCAAAATGGATAGAAGAATGGAAGTACTCTGGGAAGATTAAAAAGTGTTCTAAAAAATCTCCCTCATAAATTAGATTTTGAAGTTCCTATTCCAGGATTCTATGAGACTAGGCCAGATTTCCAGCTGCCAAAGACTTTTACCAGATCCTTGGCACTCAATTTAGGAAAACTGGGAAAAATCATTTATTTTTGTGAAAATAAATATTTTTTATCTTAGTCTGATTTTAAAGGGGGAAGAAAGTGGGGAATCAAATGAACATTTTTTGAATACCTACTCTTGATCAGGCACTGTGCTCTAGGTACTGTCAAACATTCTCCTAACGTTCTCACGACAACCATGTGAGGGGATAGAATCCTATCGAGCAGGGATTAAGTTAATTCCCTGAGACTACTTAGTTTATGGATGTTGTAAGTGGAATTTGAACCTAGGATCTTAAAAGCCTTGCTCTTTTTATTACCTCTGAGCCCCTTCATTCTTTGGTAGCTGAAAGAAACAGGCTAATGCTCCTTTTGGTTTCTTTTACATTTTTGTGATAACTCAGATGTTACTTGTGGCAGCCTTCTCTTAACCTAAGACTTGTCAGACTCTTTGTTCACACACCCTTCCCCTGAAATTCTTTCATGATGTCTCCCAAACCAGACTGAACTCCTTGAAGCAGGACCATATCTGCTTTTGCTCATCATTTTATTCCCAGTGTCTGGCATATAGAAGGCACTTAATATTGAATAGGCAACACACATACTAAGAATGGGGAATATTGATGGTCTTAGTACAGCTTTTGTATTGTGGGGAATTTTGCAGATCTCAAATTCTTTGAATTAATGGGTAGGGAAAGGGCCAGATAACTTGTTCTTACAATCTAGGCAAATTGCAAACGGCTGTTCTGCCCTTTTTCAATCTGTCGTCCACATAGCTGTTGGTACTTTCTAAAACACTAACATTTAAAAATATTCTAAGGCTCATTTATGTATAACAGATTCCTTAGACAGCTTGCAAGGCTGCCCTGTAGAATCTATATCACTTTTCCAGCCTTATCTCCCACTATTCCCCCTTCTGCTCCGGCGACAAATAAGTATTTCATACTTCTGAGAAGTGCCATGAACTACTCTTACATGATGCTGTTCTTGTTAAACTCTCACCTCTCTAAGACCCAGCTTCATCTGCAGTCTTCATCAGCTTTCCTAAGCAGTTAATTGCTTTCAGTTCCCATTGTACTTCATATACCATATCTAATTTGTAATCTCCTGATCGCTTGTTATTTGTTGTGTATGCTTCCCTCATCTGACTAAACACGAAAGAGAGGCCATGTTTCTCAATTTTTATGTTCTCGCTCTTGCTCTCCACAAACAGAAAGA